AAAAAAGAATTGCAATGCTGAAAAAGCCTTTTCAGTTACAATGTTTGGATTTGAAATCAAAATAATGGATAAATGTTGTTTGTGGTAAACAGCCACGGATCAGTAACGGACTCCTGTGTGAAAGCACTGTGCTGCTTCCCCTCTTGCAAGAGTCACCTAAGAGGGGAATTCCCCCCATTTTCAAAAATGAAATTCAGGCCCTGAATAAATGTCTAAAAATCCTGATTGGAGTATCACTATAAATAGGTATAAATGATAAAAAGAAGGCTTTAAAAAGATCGGTATCGGTGATCGGTATCGGCAGATACTGCTTTCTGTGATCGGCGATCAGCCTCAAAAATCCTGATCGGAGCACCCCTAGTTCTGAATGGAGGAAATGTCAAGCGAGTAAATGTTACATGCTCACATCAAGGACGTTGATCTTCGATTTGGCGGAGGACTCTAGAAAGGCACAGTTGTTCCACTGCCGGGCCAGATTTTGCCCCTGTTCTTTCCCCACCACCCTCTCGTCCTCCAGATCACATTTATTACCCACCAGGATCATTGGCACCTACAGTCAGAGAGGAGGAGAAAAAGAAAGTTACACAAAGGTAATTATGTGGATCTACCGTTTCACCATGGAAACTAAATGGTTAGGCAACATTTATGAATGCATTGTAGGCTAGTTTTATAACATTTACAATTTATTAGACCAGTGAAGATGAAAGATGCCAAAGGTTATTCTCAATTTTATACCTGAAGTCGTGACCAAACCACATGTCAGACATGATTTAAATGTGCACAATCATCCCAGCAACAAATAAAACCTCAGTAAGCACCTATTATGGTAATCTCTAAGAAGAACAGAAAAACTGAGCTTTCTGATTATAGACCCTTTTAGGGCCGACGTCACAATTACATCAATGCGCTAGCTGGAGGCAAAACAAAGGGAAAACTGGAGGCGGCCAATTCAAACCAGCGCAGATTCAGCTACATAAGGAGCTTAAAATATCGTCTTATTGTGATGTTGGGTGCCAGAATCGACTAAGGGGTGGGGGAAATAATCGATACAGCATAGTATCGCGATATTTTCCACGGCAATACTGTATCGATACACGGATGCCAAGTATCGATCTTTTATTATACTATTTGGTAGAATAATAAAATCAATTTCTTTACAATCCACTAGATGGTGGTGTTGAGTATTTTTCTGGTGAGGTCAGCTGGGTCACCTTCAGCATGCAGTAAGTTAGTAAAATAAAGAGGGCGGCATAGCGGAAAGTTATCAGGAAAGCCCCATCCACGTTTAAATTGGATGTATGGACTTACTTTGGCTTTGTAAACTAGGAGGGGATGTAAGTAGGGACGCACCGAAAATATAGGCTACATATAATAATAAAAATAATATATATGGCGCGCTACGTCGCGCCCCGCCCAGCAGTGTTCAGCGCGCACGTTTCACTCTCCTTGTCACTGCGCGGTTTGACGCTCCGCTCAATATTCCGATCTATGAATATTAGTAAAAAAAAACAACAACAACTTCTATCTGATTCTGTTACATAGAAGTGAATAAAAATAATATATTGATATTTAAAATTAAGGTAACACTTTTCAATAAGGTTCCATTAGTTAATGTTCATAATCATGAACGAACAATGAACAATACATTTATTACAGTATTTATTAATCTTTCTTAATGTTAGTTAATGAGAATACAGTTATTCACTGTTAGTTCATGTTAATTCAGAGTGCATTAACTGTTAACAAGCACAACTGTTGATTTTTTTTATGCATTAGTAAATGTTGAAATTAACATGAACTAAGATTAATAAATGCTTGCGGTCAAAGCAGCGTGATGAGAGAGACAGAAAAAGACACACACGGTGTAAGGCCAATCAAAACACATTCCAGGGATGCTAAAACTCCTCATGGTGGTGATCCCCTGGGCCAGCGCTTCACTACACACACACACACACACACACACACACACACATTTCTTTCCACACATGTCCAAAAAAGGGCATCCCATGACTGACACAGAACAGAGGCAAACAAGAAGACTTAGGAGTTGAGGGTGGGCTTTTGCAGAGATGGTGTATAGACCCATGGGATAACAGACTCATTTAATCAGTACTCTTACTTTGCTTAGAGTTGGGAAATACATAGAATATTCACAATATTGCAGGCAATATAAAGTTAAGCATATTTGTGATAGATTGCTACGATTTTATCACTCAATTTCCATGTAATATGTCATTAAGACTAAATTGCACACTAATTTGTTTAACTTGTTTAATACAAAATGTATACAAGGAGAAAAATCTTTGATTTTCTAAATGTTACTGACATAGAAAGAAAGAGAGAAATCAATAATGGTACTTTAAAATGCGTAAGCAACTACCAGGTGGATTGTGAAAAAAAATCATGTTTTAGTAAGGCAGTGATTTGTTAAACTAAAGCTCTAAAGTGCTTCTCTTTGAATGCATCCATACATCAAAGTCCACTCAACATGAATGTTTTCTCATACTTACATCCTCTGTGTCCTTTACTCGTAGGATCTGCTCTCTTAAGTCCTGCAGGTCATTGAATGTGGACTGCGCTGTGATTGAGTACACAAGAGCAAAGCCCTGACCGTTCTTCATGTACAGGTCCCTCATAGCTGTGAACTGCTCCTGAAAGAGAGAGAGAGGGAAAAAGTACACAATGAAAAATAAAGCACAAGTGTTTAAAAGTGTTACTTTGTAAACTGACACTTAAAAAAATAAAATTAAAATAAAAAACTTTTTGAAGAGTCAAAGTTTTGGGTGAACTGACTTTCAGTGAAGAGACAGAAACGTCTCAGATTTTGTTAAAAATATATTCTTTTAAATTCAATATGCTGTAATGTAATGTCTTCCATTACTTCAGGGATTTTCTCTGCAAATATTAATGCACATGATTAAACATCATGCTATGGGTTTTCAAGACCTCTACAGACTAATCTCTGAGAGCTAGAGGTCTTCACGGGTTCACTTGAATCTGGAAACACACAGTCTAACCCCGATTCTGATTCAAAACTTCAGACATGAGCCGGGTATATTAATTGTTTTGGGTCTCGGGTGATATTAAATGTGTGTTCTTTTACCGAATGGACCTGAGAAGACGTGATTTTTTTTTTTTTAAACATGCCAAGTTTAGGTTTTGACCGTTAAACAATATTTTAATTATAGCCCGACCGATATGGGTTTTTTGGGGCTGATACCGATACCAATATTAGGGAGTAAAAAAGGCGATATCGATATATCGGCCGATATTCTTTGTGTATATTATAGTACAGTACCAGTCAAAAGTTTGGACACTTTCCCATTTGTGTGTCCAAACATTTGACTGGTACTATACAGTGGGTACGGAAAGTATTCAGACCCCCTTAAATTTTTCACTCTTTGTTATATTGCAGCCATTTGCTAAAATCATTTAAGTTAATTTTTTTTCCTCATTAATGTACACACAGCACCCCATATTGACAGAAAAATACCAAACCATACGGAATTCTTGCGTGAGCAGCAGCATTATGCGGTCCTTATAACCTGCACTCTGCAATGTACCCGAGCCATTCGTGAGAATGAAGGCGGGGGATTTACTTGTTAATATTAACAAATATAAATTCCTTGTCATTTGAGGTGTAACATAAGCAGTTTAACTGCTTGGAATTGCTTGCAGAAAACTTCTGCCAGATAAAAAAAATAACTAAACTAAATGCAGTTGGTGATTCCAAAATTAATCAACTAAATCAAATTAACAAAAATTAAAGCATAACTGTGTATTTTCTTTGTTTTCCTCAAACAAAACAATTTGTGAAATTCCACAGAAAACATTTTTGACATACAAAAAGTAAAGTCGACATTATCTGGCAACATGGGTTAAAAATATATAGCTAACATAAATGTTATGAAGAAGGATCAGAGAATAAATTTATTCGACAAATAAGGTATGTTTGTGTCATACCAAGTTGTCACCACTCACCACTGACATGCAGGGCTGCAAGCTGTGCAAACATCGCCAACTTTTGCATTCGGGTCCAGTTGATTTTTACAAAATTTCCATCGGGTCAGGTCAGACTTGGGTCAGGTCTAATTTGATTGGGTCTGTCTTGGGTCAGGTTTTTCTTTTTTTCTTTTTTTCTTTTTGCATGTCAGGTTTGGGTAAGAAGTGATTTGTGTCTATCCAAAATCGGGTACAGAGCTGTGAAATCTTTTTTTCTCCACTAATGTGGTTACAGTACATTGCCAGTACTTGCTGTGTGTACTTACTGTTCCTGCTGTGTCCAGGATCTCCAACATGCACTGCTGGCCATCCACTTCCACTTGCTGCATGAGGAGAAGAGAAGAAATGAAACAGAAATAAGCATCCATTGTTCACTGGGGTATTGAACAAAATACAGGAAAGGCTACTGAGCATAGAATTGCTACCTTCCTATAGGAGTCTTCTATTGTGGGGTCATATTTCTCCACAAAAATTCCCTGGACAAACTGGACTGTCTGCAAGAGACACAGATATTAAATTAGAGCCATAGAATGTTTTATAGAAAGCTGTACATAAGTCAATGTCAAAAGAGATCAAAACACAAGTTTATATGAAAAAGTTCTTAATTTTGCTGCATTCCAAATTTTGATTAACTTTGATCTGCAAATTTATATCACATGAAGACGTTTGACCGATAGAAGATCTGTATGTCCTTGGGTCCATTCTTCGTACATCGGAGATGATTTGACAGATGCCAAATCTTTTAATCCTGATAACTGATCACTGGCTAATTTTGTTCTTCAAACAAGTTAGCGGATCAGATAAAGATATTTTAATTAAGTTGCCCGAGATTACTTTGTGTTGTTAATGTTCACTGGAAAGGGGTTATCGATACTCAAAACCATGATCAGCAGTGCAGTGATTGGCTGGCTTCAAGACAGCAACTTAATGACATCATATAATTCAGATAAAAAAAACAGCCTTGTGAGCAAAATGACATCACTAGTGAAAAATAAATATACTTAAATGTATTTGAAATACAATTATTTTGTGTTAAGTATACTAAAAATACATTTACATATTATTTACATATTACAGTGGGGGAAATATTTATTTGATCCCCTGCTGATTTTGTAAGTTTGCCCACTTACAAAGAAATGAAGGGTCTGTATTTTTATGGTAGGTTTATTTTAACGTATAGAGACAGAATAGTAACCAAAAATTACATAACGATTAGAAATTGATTTGCATTTCAGTGAGTGAAATAAGTATTTGATCCCCAAGCAAAACGACATAATTACGGATTATAATGACTTATTACTGTCTTTTTAAGCGCTGCGTTGCATCGCGTAAACGTAAAACCATGTCTGCATTTGTGATCGGAGAAATGACAAACAACATTCATTCACGGATTTGTGTTACTGTCTTCACACACAGACGAAAATTACTAGAATAGAGAAGGGTGACATAATATACCGCTGTAAATAAATACAATTTAAATTCACTATCTCGCGAACGCGGCGGCGGATCTCCACCAAATTCGGGGGATCCCTTCAGCTCGAGGAGCCTTCTTGAACGCCACCCTCCGTGCGTCGGTAGCCCCCTGGGATCGCCAAATCAGTCAGTGCCCGATTGCGAATTTAACCGCCCATAACTCCTGGACCCCTGGGGCTATCGACACAGGGGTGGTCTCATTCAAAAGGGGGTCTCGAGAAGTACACTCGATTCGGCGCTCGAGAGGGTTCCTCGAGCTGAAGGGCTCCCCCGTTACGGAGATGTGGCCGTTCAAATTTTCAATGGTATTCCATACACTTAAGCTTTAAAGTGTTTCATTCAGGTTGCCAGTAGCAAACAATGGAGCGCGCTCTGCTGGACAAACTACAAAATTACACCATTTACAAGCATTTTATCTGCGTTTTATGTTCTGTAAAAAAAATTTCATATCGGTGGCATATTCACAGATATATCTGCAACAGGCTCATATCGGCTGATAAAATCGGCAAAACAATATATCGGTCGGGCTCTAGTTCAATATAATGTTTATGTGCTAAAAGCAGAATGAAATCGTGTTAATGGCACCAACAATGGACCAATTATCAGCTTGGAGCGAGCAGATTACCTTTATTAATAATACTTGCTGATCGTCTTGATCACGCGACCAGTGCTGAGAGATCCACTGAGAAGCACTTGAATTCAGAGAACAACACAAATATCTTGAAGACTAAGACAGGGCTAGTAAAACTTTGAACCACTGTCCCGACTGGGCCAGCAGAAAAATCCTTAGTGTTGAGTCCTGTGTTTTCATGCCTGCACTTTAATAAATTACTGCAGTCTCCAGTGTCCAGATGGTTATTCAGAAATTATTTTAATATGCTGACTTGGTGCTCAAAAAACATTTCCCCATCATCAATGTAGAGAACTCTGTCATTCAAAAGTTTGGGCTAAAGTCAGATACTAAATTTAATACTTTTATTCAGCAAGGACACATTACATTGATTAAAAGTGTCAGTAAAGGCAATCATAATTTTACAAAAGATTTCTATTTCACATAAATGCTGTTTTTTACTTCCTATTCAAAGAATCCTTAAAAACAGAAAAGAAAAAAAAAAACCCTGTTTCCAGCAGCGCAACTGTTTTTAAATATAATAACTACCATTATTAATAATTGAGCACCAGTAATAACAACTAATAATAACAGCATGCTAGAATGATTTCTAAAGGCCTTTACAGCTAGCTATAGAACCAAATGACAATCGGAGAAAACCAAAAGCCACGGTCTACTGATCATCTACTGATCATTACTGTGGATCACATCATTGCTTGGCTGAGCAGTGGAGTCCAGTTGCTCTGAGGTTTGGTGAAGATGACATGGTATACTGTACTTACCAGGGCTGATTTGCCCACACCGCCAGAGCCCAACACCACAAGCTTGTATTCACGCATGGCAGGGTCTCTTCACCAGACTCCTCAGTGCTCTAAAAACAAGAAAAGACAAGAGAATGAGTAGGTCTCCACATATTGATGCGTGTTAGTTTGGGTGTGCGGTGTAGAGAGCATCCTGGATCGTAGCCCAGGTGGGGGATATTGCAAGCATGACCTCTTAAACACAAAGCAGCTGTGGGTTCTGGATGGAAGTGTGCAGTCTTGAGCCAGGACTGAGGTCTGCTGAGCCTCTGGGCCTACATAGATTTAACCCTTATCAGCAGGCCCACACTGATCTGGACACCGCAAATCTATGACAGGAAAGAGGATGGTAGAGGAACGAAATCTCCTTTATGACATAAAAATCCAAGTCTGTTATATTATAACAGGACAGAATGTGCATTTATGTTACTGTGTGGGAAAAGTTAACCACCATTGGCTTTTAAAGTAAATAAACCAGAGTTGTGGTCTGAACAGCTTTATGTACAAAGCATGCCACGTACATTGATCAGTGAAAATCATTTACTCCACCAGACCTTGAACGAACACATTCTTTAAATCAACAACTTAATCTCTTCTCCAAATGCTGCTACTACAACCATGTGGGACCTGTTCAGAATGAATAATACATAAAGGACAATCCCTTTTGTGTGAAAAGGTTTCACAGGTAAACCATTCTGCTGGCTTTCATATAGTAAACACACATGCAGTCAAACACAGGTCTTCTGAAATTACGCCTCTGTGGTGAGGAGCCAAATCCAAACAGTGGCCAGGCTGCACTCAAGGAACACTAATCTCATCCAGTGTTACTTGGAGAGGTTCATATGTGCTGTTGCTCGAAAGCTTTGGTCCATTTCTGCTTTTGCAGGATTGGTCGGCATGCAGAGAGGAGAATTTTCTTCCTTTAATGGTAACGGCAGTGTAGAAAAGGCGATGAGATGCCAAACTGAGGCCACCGAGAGGGAAAATGACCAGACGTAATGTAGAACTAAAACTCAGATGTGATTAGGAGCATTTCAGAAGCAAACGACTTCCAGTCGCTCATGATGTCTGGAAAAAACACTTGCACGCAAACAAGATGGAGAGATATAGCGTATGACCACACCTATTGGCTCCCAAAAAACAGCTGCAACTCCAAATAATTCAAATTATGTTCGGAAAAAAGCCAATTTTTGCATGTCAGTCCTCAAGAGCCAGTGAAACACTTTCATTCTCCTTTTCTTCTGTTTGTTTCCCTAGGACACAAATAGACACATTTAAACAACAACAAAACATTTACCTTGCCCACTCAAGTATGGTATCATTATTAGGGATGTTCATTTTAACCGGTTAACCGACCGTAAGAATTTTGACCGATTAATACAATCAGTTAAACGGTTTAAAAAGTAATTTAATTATACATTTTTTTAGTAATTTATCAAAATATTTAAAAAATGTTTGCTTCATGGTTAAAATGCGCTATGCGCATTAAAAAATTTGTTTTTTAGGGGGGGAAAAACATAAGTTGCGTATAAGTCGCATTTTATTATTTCATTCAGAAATAGGCCTAATGCCAACGCGAAATGCTTACAAACATTATAATAAACACTGTAAACATAGCTAGGCTATTTTAGTTCCCCTCACTCCACAACAATCCTTTCAATTAACAGTATTTAGAAAAGAACAAGAATTAAAAATATAAGAAGCTATAGCAATATAAATGACAAGCCAAAACGAATTCATTTAGGCTAAAACGAAACTAAAACCAACATTGCTTCTTTCATTCGACACAAAATCAAATGTTTCCGTATTCGCGATGTATTTGAATGCAGTGGAAGCAACTACTAAAGTTTTGCTTTTATTTGTGTACATTCACAATAAAAATCTTTGTGCTTTTGTAAAATAAGCCTAAAGAAAAATAGGATGCCGCTTTCTGCCGTCTGTTTCCTTTCCCACAGCACAAAAATGAACCGAAACTCCGCATAGGCTACTTGTTGCAGAGTTTTTCTTTTGTTTTCTTAATTTATTATTTAAGTAAATATATGTTTCTTGTATAGGCCTATTTATTCGTTTTATATATATATATATATATATATAGCCTAGGTACGGAAAGTATTCAGACCCCCTTAAATGTCAAGGTAGCAATGTTGTGTGCGCGAATGCGGCGCCATCGCTTGAATTTTTTCCTTCTAACAGTGGAAGAAACTACTTCTTTTAGTCATAAAGCGGAATTGTAAAAGGTTTGCCTTTATTCGTGTACATTCACAATAAAAAAATCTTTGTGCTTTTGTAAAATAAGCCTCAGTGAACAACGGCTCTGTGTAGTTAATGCTGCTCAATGTGAAAGCACGCACGTGATGGAGATTTACCGCTGATTACAGAACCGGCTTTACTGATAAGACACGCGTTAAATATCGCATGCGATTTATCGTGCAGCCCTAATGTGAATCCTTATGTTCTGTTGTTTTCTGCTTTTTGCGCATGTAAAATTAATCCCAGGGAAACAAATGTTAGTATTTTTAACGAGTCACAGACACTTATCCTTTCTAATTTAATTCAATTCTAATTTAAAATAATCTTGTCGGTTAACGGTTAGCCTCGGTTGTCGGTTAGGAAAAATAACCGAAATGAACATCCCTAATCATTACCGAATTAACTCAGACTGTTCTTTCCAAGTAAGGATGGCATTGATAGGCCGATTCCTCCACACAGCATGAACACAGCTAAACCTCCCTGATCATCATCAAAGGCAGACTGAACAATCTGTGGACCATAACAGCTGCTCTGATGAAAGTCTTTTGAAGTCATAGGATAATACTTCAACTAAGACTGCAAATAAAGGTCCAGAGAGAGGCTGAGGGCCATGGAGGGTGGGTGTGTTGGATGAAACCCACAATACTTCAGCAAGCTCAAACATTTGACAGAAAGACAGTTTGTTTAACCCACATTAAACTAGACTTTCTGTGTCTTACATAAGTACTAGAAGTCATCTAATTTTATATTTTAAGAGCTAACAAATACTATCATCATGACCTCCAATGTCAAGCACAAGTTCAAAATATTAATTTACTAGTGCATGTTTGTTTATAGTTTAACACCATGCCAGCTTACCTTGGTTATATTTATGGTGAGAAAAGGAAAAATAAAGAAATAAGAATAAAAAATATGTTCCAGTGTACCAACCAAGAAAAAAAAGGCAGAACTCACTTGAAACAAGCTGCACATTGTTTATTATAATTTATGAATGTCTCATATCATTAAACTGAATACCATCATAAGGCTGTTCTGATATGATATTTTTTTTTTCATAATATTACATCGATACTTGTATTGATTTTTATTTTTCTCTGAGATAAAGAATAAAATGTTTCTTTGAAGTTATAGCATTTACTGAGAGATCATGCTAACCAGGCAAACAATTACCCCTTGATTAGAACGGATCCCTGGCAACACATGTTGAGTGCAAACACTGTGTTATCAGGTGATAAATGAAAAGAAAAAGCAAAGTTTGAACAGAAAGAATGTGTCACAGCCACCTGACTGATGCCACTTAACCACAATTTCTCAACTGAATGTTGCCATTCACAGTCTTTTTAGTCACAGTTAAGGAAGACAAAACGTGTTATTTAACCTCATAGTGGTTTTCGGTTTGTCAGTTTATTACATTCTAACTGATTAATTTGTTGCTCTTAACAGTCACAGAATTTTACCAAATTCTTATGGTCTAAACAGCTTCAAGCCCTGAAACATCAACCATCCAACTTACAAGAGTTTTCATCCCACTGATCATCTTAAACCACATTTTCAGAAATTTAGTTAACTGAATACTCTGAGGAACACATCTTCGGTGTGACACTACAAAGAAACTAAACCTAGAGTCTGGATTGAAAAAGTCAACCTGATCGGTGAATGTGACAATGGCTTTTCTTAATCATCACAATAACTACCAAAAAACTAAAGTAATGATAGTAAGCACTGTGCAAGGTGATCTATGAAACAGAAAGTTTTCATACTAATACTGAAATCTGATCATCCTCTGTAAAGTCAAAAATTATCTAAGAAAATACAAGAAAAAAAAAACAAAAAAAAACACCCTGGTTCAAGTTCTTGTCAAAATATCCAGCTCATCAGCAACATACAAAGACCACATCCTTTGTTTTTGGAGGGTAGATAAAACCTGACTATAAAGTCGCAAATCGAATTAAAAGACATACATAGAACTACTGCCACTGATGCTTTGAGTTTAACCTATGTATGTCCTGTTGAAAAACGATGAGTCAGTATGCGAAACCGTTAAACTTGCATTTCCCCATCGTCCTCTTCTCATAATTTAAAAGACAACATCATATCTGGAAATGTGGTTGGACTTCCGTTTTGTTGTTCACATTAATATCATATCATTTGCATAACAGCAACTGCATGCAGCTATTAAAGTCCACTTGTGTAAAATAATTAACATTACGTTAATAAGTATAGTTTACATTTCTGTCATTAATCTTTATCCATCTAATTACTATAATCTATCCGTGTTAAGACATAACAACAAATGTGTTTTGCTGGAGCAATACATCAGCTGGATTGACTGCAGATGTATTGCTCAATGTAAAAACAGAAAATATAATTAATAAAAAGAAATCAAGTAGATAGAATAGAAATACAATTGAGAGTGCTAATGTTAGAGGGTCCAGTTTTTTAACATAATATTCTTCAGACACCTAAATAACTACTGTTGTACTAAACATTATATCAATACACAACAGAAGTACAATGCAAAAAAAGAGCATATGTTCACTGTTAACAAAGAAAACCATGGAAAAGTTAACAAATGTAATTTTACTCAAAAGCAACAACAGTAATTAGCTTTGGGAAAGACAAGGAAAATCTTAGGCAAGGCCTGACAAAGCACACAACCTTTTGAACCTAAGACCTGAGAAGATTGGTTTCAAGGGATGCAGTTCACTTTCATAAATAACTTTATCTGGTTAACAACTTAGAAGAATATCTTGCCCACTCAACATAATAAACCTGACTCATATGAGCTTACTTGCATCCATTCAACAGGTGTAAGCAACATGAAATTATTATCTAAAGTATTAAAAAAACATAATGATTCACTCAATAGATAAGAATAAGGAAGCCTCACTCAGACATCATTTCACAGTAAAACCAGCAAAGAGAACTGAAAACTGCTTTGCAAAACATTGGTGTCAGAAAAAAAAAAAACCAATGACAATTTAGGTCTGCTCAGCAAAACCAGTTGATCCGTCCTATTCATCTAGGGATACTAAACTCAACTCTGAGATAGAATCAAGTTATTAAACAATGTGGCAATAAAAATCAGTTCGCATTTGATTCCACATCAGAAACTGGGAACATTAGATTGTAATACAACAGGACTCACAACTACTGCACCTTGTAAGAAAGGGCTGTTTTGATTGATAATGTGCATAAACTACATCATAAAACACTGACTGGACTGTTTAATTTAGACTAATGACGGCAAGAATGTTCATTTCAACCACACACTTTCGATTTAGACTAGTAATGTACACATTTATTTCAAGGTGAGACAGAAGTTATTTATAATATGTTTATAAAATGTGTTATAACGGCAGAAAGCGTTTATTTTGGTCGGTTTCTGATGTGGTGAAATTCAGTCCGAGAGATTTGTGCTAACATGCTAAGACTGCTGGAGCCGGGGGAAAAACTAACTTACTCAATATCACTTTATATTTAAGGAGCAAAATATTATTGGCACAGTTATGGGCTACATGTGAATAAAACGACCCACATCACACAACACATCTCGTTTAATATCTCTTCGTGAATTTTTGCAGTGAATTAACGGTCCTTATCAATAGTGTCTGCTAGCGCGCTCGTTTAGCCGCCTACCTTCACACACCCGCCGGAAAAACCCGACAAACGTGTTCAGCTGCAGTCAACCTCAATCCCTTTTCTCCTCAGCAGACTGGGTCATTCCACGAAACAGCACCTGCGGCTGACACGAAACGAGCTTTGGGACAGGAAAAACACGGCTCTGCTGCCCTCAATGCGACCTCACGAGCCGCTCACGTAACGCGCCTGTCACTCACAGACTCAGCGCTTCAGCGTGAGCTCAGCTAGCGGCGCGATTTAGCGCAGAGTCTCGTGACAGCTTCCGGTGTCGGACTGAATCATGGGCCGCCACCCGACAAAACAAAGGTCGCGATGAGACGATTTACTTGTGTAATAAGGTTAAACTCTGATCAAACCCTATTCTTAACCCTAACCTCAATCTTAATCTAAATGTACACCAGAAATATACAGCCTGGGCTTCTGAAGCAAATTGATAAACAGAGGTGTGACATGCATTCTTTTCAGCTCGTTCAAAATTAATCTTGCTGCCGGTTCTGGATTAATTGTAGAGGTTTGATAGAAGTGGCTGGAAGACCTGCCAAGAGAGCATTGCAATAGTCCAGCCTGGATAGAACAAGAGCTTGAACAAGGAGTTGTGTTGCATGTTCTGAATGAAAGGGCCTGATCTTCCTAATGTTGTATAAAGCAAATCTGCAGGACCGGGCAGTTTTAGCAATGTGGTCTGAGAAATTCAGCTTATCATCAATCACAACTCCAAGGTTTCTAGATGTTTTTGAAGGCGTTATGGTTGATGAGCCATATATATATATACAGTATATATATATACATACATATTCATGTCATTGAAAACAGACCTTTAATCAAAATGTAAATGTAACTCTTCTCTACTGACAAGGCCCCCTGACTGAGCCTGGTTTCTCCCAAGTTTTTTTCTCCATTCTGTCACAGATTGAGTTTTGGTTCCTTGCCACTGTCGCCTTTGGCTTGCTTATAGTTGGGGACGCTTGACTGATTGCACAGACACTATTGGAAGAGAGCTGAACTGAACGATGACATCACTGAATCATCAATGAACTGACTATTACTCATTTTCCATTTGCATTATTTCCAGTTGACACTGTAAAGCTGCTTTGACACAGTATTGTATAAAGCGCTATATAAATAAAGGTGACCTGACTTGACAAGGCACAGCCAGTCCATCATCCATCAAGACCATCGCATGGATCTGCCAGCATTCAGTACATAAAGCCTGCTTTTCAGAAACTGGTCATTCCTATGTTTCCATGTTCCCCACATTTATATGACACATGATGAAGACATGGAAAAAGGACCTATGGTCCCAGGATCCTATGTTCCCTATATTATATGGCAATCATAAACACGACGTTCCCAGGGTTAGGGTTATGCTATCATAGCGACAACCCATGGGAACATACTGAAAGTAGAGCAGACATCTTGATTAAAACACTACAAATGTTTTACAGGATTCAGATGATGGAATAAAGTTTTGCATTTTTATGGTTAACAGCTCATGTGGGGAAAAAGGAGATAGGAGTGCAAAGAAAAATATATACAAGAGATATGAACATCAATGTTAAATATATAGGAAGACTGAAACAAATAGTATAAATAAACAACAAATAAAGAGCAAAAACAATTGAAGGAGGATAGAACCAGTAGATGGTTTTATGACATTCAAAGAAATGCAGGTTTAGGAATAAAAGAGAAGAAACCATAAACTCAAAATTTTGATTCGAACATACATCTCTTAATAGTACACTGTGCAGAATAGGAAAACATGACATAGGGAAATAGACAATGGGACAGTAGAACTTGTGATGATCTTTCCCAAATATGATAATGAAAAGAAGAATCTGATTTCTAAACATAAGAAAAATAAAATGAATTGTGAATAAACAAACACTGTGAAAAGGATTTAAAAGATGTATGTTTTTTTAATTATTAGGCTACAATATTTGAAAGCATCGGAGTTAGATAAGAGAATACAATTTTGCTTACGATAAACATACACACTTTAGTATTCTATAGTCTTTGGTTACACGCACCCTGTCACTGTAAACTGGCCTGTCAATCATCTTGTCACAGAACGACATCATCAACATTTCATTTAATTCAACTTCCCACCGTATTGGAGAGAAAAGAAGGAGCACGTTGATCTGCCAGCCGCGGGAATTTATGCGGAGAACCCTGCTCATATTTTTTTGCATTACTATGAAAGTGTTAATAGAAATAAGTCGAAATAGGAATCTGATCATTTTAATGCTAGTGTTTTTTTTATATTAAATACGGTAGTTCCCATTTTATTCTCAGAAATCTATAAAGCTTATCATTTAATGAAGGTCTTGATGTTGGTGATTTACTTGATTCCGACTGAAAAGCAAATATAGTTTTTTTTTATAAAATAGTTTTAATATTCTATTCTATTTTGTACTGCGTAGGAATGGGACTTTTACTGTAAAATTTCGCCCTAACTCTGTGCTTTGATGCGTCGTTCACGTTGCGTAGTAGTTTGCAAAACAATCGCAGTAAGATGGCGCTGTCTGGCGGGGCGGACAGAGGATCCCACAGCATGGATAAGAGCATCACACTCCCCGGAGAGAAAAGAAGGAGCACGTTGATCTGCCAGCCGCGGGAATTTATGCGGAGAACCCTGCTCATATTTTTTTGCATAATGATGCATTTAAAAATGAATGGCCAAACGGATGTTTATAAAAGCTTACATTGTTTTTGCAGATGAAATATATCACAGATAACATTAAATAAATATTTTTTTTACCAGGTTAAATTTTGAATATTACCAAAGTCCCTTTAAGGGTATTCAAAGTTATTACTCAAACCCCTTTATCTACACCGGTCGCACATCCGCCATGTTTGTAGTTTTTAACGCTTTTAATTCGTGTTTGTAGTTCTGAATCGAATCATCCATCCGGAGTCTTTTGGCATTCTCTTTTCAACATACTACGCTTTGGGACACACTATTTCTAATTTCACATACTATTTAGGATGGATAGTATGAACATTAGGACACAGAGATGGTCCCCTAATCAGCAACCTGATGAAAAAGTCCATATGCCATTAAACAGCAAATGCAATCTGATTTGTCTTTTTAATATGTTTAGCATGTTTACACAGTGAAATTATGTTTCACCTGGTTGTTTTACTAAAGATTTTTAAATCACTGAATGACATTAATGTCAGTTTGTCTAAATATTACAGAGGTTTATTTTTATTTTTTTATTTAGCCTATTTATTTATTTTTATTTTTTATTTTTTGCAGCAAATTGTCATCATCTAAGAGAAAGTTTAATTAATAATTTGCAGATGCAGCTAGGGTCACAAACCAAGTCTATAATGTAAATAACAAGTGAAACTACAGTGAAAGATTTATTAATAATAAGGTTTTTGTAGTGTTATATAGTAGGGGCGGACAGAGGATCCCACAGCATGGATAAGAGCATCACACTCCCCCCAGATGAAATTTTCCGCAATTTAGAGAACGCCAAGAGGTTCGCTATAGATATAGGTATTATCACATGCAAACTCGTAACCTTGTTTTTTCTCAAACGTAGTAACGTTAACGTTACAGTCACTTGTGGAGTTTGGACGTGTCAGAGTTTGTTGGGCAGGGCTGCGTTCAAATTTGTTAGCGCGTGCTGCTAATCTGACAGTTTGTTCAATACATGTGAGGAATAACAACACTAACATTATTTATGAAGACTTTGAGGCTGTAAATATCCACTGAATAACCTTCATTAGATAAATATAGCGGAGCGGAACGAGGATAGGTTTTTTTTGTACTACTAGGCTGCAAGTGCAAACATGTCATATGTTTTAATGAACCTAAGCAACCTGATGTAATATTTTAATAACATAATAGTAATCGTATAAGAGAATGTTAAATGTATATGAACATTGAATAAAGAAACAATTTACCTCATCTTATCTGACAGGTGGCTCTTTGACAAAACTGGCATATTACTCCACTGTCCAGCATAAAGTTGCCAAAGTCAGGTCGTTTGATCATTCAGCGAAGGTAAGCTTGCAGGTAAGACTTTTTCACTCCATGATTACACATAACATCAGGGGCCCTTTTTGGAGACAAGGGAGGCAGTGTCAGAAAATCTGATGAGAAAGTCATGTACTATACAAAAAGTAAAACAAAACAAATATTACATCTTGTTAGATTTAAAAGACTCCTATTATTCTTGTGTACATTTTCAACTTCCTTTAGTGCACAATGTTGCTGTTTTTTGCATGAAAAAGATCTGCAAAGTTACAAAGCACAAAGTCCACTCCAAAAGAGTTTCTGGGCCTGTCCCAATACCTACACTTGCAGTCTTGGCACAATTAAGAAAGCATGCACATGACAAAAAATAAAAATAAAAATGGCAACACTCAGTGCCGTTAATGCACTCAAAATCCACACTATCTCTAATACAGCTTCGGTGTGGTATCCCATCATTCATCATGTTCAGGAACTCACAAGCCCCAAAAGAGTGAAATGTTGAGGAAAACTTTGCGGTGTAATTAATTTAATTAGATATCACATATAATTTGTGTAAAAATGTAGTGTTGCACATTTTATTGTAACAAAATGTGTAAGTTATGTGTATTATGTAAAACATTTTCAACTGCTTTTTATCGCTTGATTAGAAGCACCACAATTAAATTGGGTCATTCATAGGGCCATTCACTAATGAACAGAAATTTAGATTTTTATTTTAAAGTGCAATGTATTACAATGTGTAAAAAAAATTAACTGTGAAAACTTTGCTTGCGTTTTTACAATACTATGTTGTAAGTGTGTCCCATTGATTCATTAAAAGTCCTACACACACTTGCGGTCTTCATGACCACTTAAACACTTGGGCCAAATACAGGAAATACATCATGTAAGTATGTGTATTATGTACATTTTTATTATGTATTTCACAACAGAATTTCTCACAATAAAAAGTAAAAGAGCATAGTGGTCATTAACTGTTATAGACGATGTTAATGGCATATGATCCCAGTCTATCAAGGATGTATTGCAGTTCCTTTTTGACTGCACAGTGTTCAGATGGTCATGAATTAATGGTCATTTTAAAATTTAAAAGCAATGCCATAGAGGAACTGTTTTGGGTAGGGCTGCACGATAAATCACATGCGATTGTCATGCGATTGGTTCTGTGATTAGTAGTAAATCTCCATCACGTGCTTTTAGATGGAGCGGCATTTAATACACCGAGCCATATGAGCCAGATGAATCGCCTTCGATTATGAATGCGATATTGCGTAGCTTGTCAAGTATCGCGTTCATAATCGAATGCGATTCATCTGCGATTTTGAACGCGATACTGC